GTATCCAAGTTAAACATCACACACAGCGTTTGATACCGTGATTAACAGGAACGCTCGGAGAATCGCTGGCCTTGGACCGCATCGATCACCTCGCCGCGCCTCCTGTTTGAGATGTGATGAAAACCACGTGTAATGATTTCTACTGTAATGGTTTCGCACTGAGTTGGCGAGAGCGAGCTGTCGAGCAGAATTAGTTGTTATATCTATATCTCTGAAACGGTTCTGAGATATTCCGTTTCATTCTTTGTGCGGCCGTGTTCCTCGTTAACGCCGCCGCCGCTCTGGTGCCTTCAAACCGACACAGAACACGTGATCACCGCAAGTCAAAATAGGTCTTTGCTCACAAATACAGCAGGCAGGTCTGGACACACAAATAGACCATCCCAACATGGTGAGGAGGAGGAGGAGGACTCAGGGTGAAGGCAGGTTCACCTGGACAGGTAACCAGTCTATCACAGGGCTACACTTAGAGACAGACAACCAAGCACACTCACATTCACACCTACGGACAATTTACAATCACCAATTAACCTCAGCATGTTTCTGGACTGTGGGAGGAAGCCGGAGAACCCGGAGAGAACCCACGCTGCACGGGGAGAACATGGAGACTCCACGCAGGAAGATCCCGGGTGTCCTCACCGGGACGCCAAACGGCGACCTTCTAGCTGTGAGGCCACGGTGCTAACCACCGAGACACCTGCAGCCCGGTTCTGACATAAAAACACTTCTGGCTTCCTTGACAGAAGCCGGTGGATCTTATTGGATCTTTAATCTTTACTATGAAGTGCACACTCCTTCAAAATAAGGGCGTCTTTGCTGCTTTCGGTTATTTTTCATATCGATTAATCCGATCTTCTCCTCAGGCTGCATGACTTACTGCAGCAAAACAAAAAAAGACAACAAATATGTTAAAAGCTAACATTAAACATATTGTGCAGTTATCCATAATTCAGCTGTAGGTAAATGGTAGCAGTATTATTACTCTGTAGGCTAACCCATATATTATGCATATACCAGAGCAGAATGTACATTTATGTGTCATGTTTATATTTTATTTGATATCAATATTTTATTCTCTACATTTTATACTTTCCTGCTTCTGTTAAGACTTTTAAATGTGAGCATCTGTAACAGAAAGTGATTCCATTTTTTATTTTTTATTTTTCCAGGTAATTTGCAGTAAAAATAATGTTTATATCAGTGAAATGTTGACGCCAACAGATTTTGTTCTGTCACAACTTATTAATTCTTAACACACACTCTTTACCAGTCTATGCCATGAAACAGGTGCGTAGGAGTCTTAAATACATTTATTATTACGATTTCTCCTCTTTGCTAAATACGTCTATTTTCCCCACTGCAGTGGCCTTGAGAGGCCAGTAGGCTGTTTATGTGGACCCACTTTTACATGTGCAGCCTGGACAAGGCAGAGATAAAAGTGAATGTTATAGTTTAAGTTAAGTGCGTAGTGAAGGGTTCTTGGTATTGATCAGTTGTTTTTTTTGTCATGTACCTGTGTGTGTTTCCACTGCAGGAACTCGGGGCATGCACAAGGTGGCGCACACATTTAGGAGAGTAACCCCGTCAGCTTTCTGTGTTTAGGATCTGACAGCTGTGATGACGTTAACTCCAGGTGCACCAGAACAAAAGCAAACAGTAGTTAATGGATGTAAGTCCAGTTCAATGAGCACAATCCAGGGTTTGTCATGTTAGTCGATGTGGTGAAATTTCACGTAGTTAATGGAAATGTTAGTGAGGAGAAGACCGCTGCTCATCGAGGCCAAACTAAACACAACCAGTCAGCATTTATCTTCATTAACCGATCAGTTTTAGGAAGTACCTATCCTGAAGGTGGTATTTTCATCTTTCCTTTAAACAGCCTTGGAAGCTTCTTGTGGTTTGAACATGCACAAAGGAAAACAGTCTGATGTAGCCTCCTAGATATGCTGGTGATGTTGGTGATGCATGTTTTTTTTTAATGCACTTTAGCCTTGGTGAGCTTGAAGCATTCATCTTGTAGGAATAGATTTTTTAAATCACATTTATTGCTACTCTATAGAGGATCCTATATAGACGGTGGATCCAGGGAAATGCTGGTCAGCGTTCATCCTGCAGCACGTGTGGATGACTCGCAGACTTTTAGCTGCTCCGACTTAAGATGGCTTCTCTTTGTCACATAGCATTGGCCTGGTGAAGGTCTAGCTCTGAAATGTCATGAATAAATGTATTTTAGGAAGTCAGACAGTGTGGGAGTGTGGAAATATTAAATCTTGCGCTACAGTATGCGCTCATGGGGACAGTGGCATTATTAAACATCTTTATGGTTGTGCTTATGCAGCACCTTGTTAAGGCTCGGGAAGGATCGCAGGCTTGATTTCATGCAACATGAAAAATCACTTTAATTAACATTTAACTGAAACCACATCCTTCCTTCACTAATCCCACACAGGACTAAGCCGTCCTCTGGATCTCTGACTAGCAGCCGCCCTGAGCAGCTCCACCTCCGGGGCAAGTGTGGAGCTTCATTCACTCCAGAATAAAGCTCTCTCTGAATATCGCCAAGGCTGCAGTCGTGTAGATGCAACAATATGTTTTCTTATACAGACGTAATTTGCTGCTTGTTATTTACAGTAAAAGGAGCTGTTTATGATTTAAAAGGTTAGAATGTCTGAATGCAGGTAAAGGAATACGCAGAGAAGATCAGCCTTTTGTGTGACAATCGACTGGCACTTACAGAAACATGCAGACGCTCTGTGGACACAGATTAGATCAGCCATGTTGAAGTGTGTGTGTGTGTGTGTGTGTGTGGGTGTGTGTGTGTGTGTGTGTGTGTGTGTGTACTGACTGATAAACCAACATAGTTTCAGCCTCTTACTTTCCTCTGCTGTCATGATTCTCCAATTAGCTCCAGTTTTCTTGTTTTCCTGATCAAACACTCATTGGGTTTCCTGTCTGTACATCACGTAGTCCAGTCTGATCTCTTCATCTTTTCTCCTCCCTTTTTCTTCACCCTGTAGCTCCCTTGCTGCTGATGTTGTGAACCTGTACGTCTTGTTCGATGCCTGTCTGCCACTCACCCCGTACTTATTTGCCCGGGTTGCAAATTGCATCGAGTCCGAAGTGCGTGCAATCACGTCATATCTCCTTCAGGGCGTCTCGGGCTGTTTGAGGTGTTTGTGTGTCTGTTGTGTATTTTGGTTAGCCGACTAGACAATTTGCCACGTCGCTGCATGTGTGCGTGTGTGCAGCTAAACAGGATTACCTCGGTGTATGAAATGTGAAGGTGAGCTCATCCAGGTGGAACACTGACTCCTCAGCAGTGTGGGGAGAGAAAAGGAGAAGGAAAGGAAAGCCCATACCGGGGATGACAAGCCGTCATGTTGTGCATTAAGCACGCACACACCAGCACACGTGTAGACACACTTTCATAAGCAGCAAATATAAATGCCCACCAGCATGTAGGTTGGATTTTCAGTTAAACGTGTGTTGAGTGCTTCTTTGTTCCCGTACCAATCGTTGCTCATGTGACACCCACAGATCTCACCAGACAACCAGTAGGTAGGATGTAGTGAGATGGGATGCCCAGCTGTGTTTTTGGAAAATGTGGGTCCATCGGCGCCGGCAGATGTGACAACAGTTGACCAGTACAGGCTCCACGTGTCGCATGTTTAGAGTTCACCACATTCAGCTTTGACTGTGAGGAGAAATCCTCGTCACGCTGGCCAACGGAGGGAAGTGAAGCTGCACTTGTTGAGATGACGGTACAGTTAAAGACAGGAAAAGGTTACCGTGGAATGCTAATAACCGTTCTGTGACATGACACACACTCTGGTCTCCTGCGTGGATGTCACACACCCCAACGTTCTGCCTCCTTACATAAAGGGCACACTACATCCCACGTTGGCACTGAGCGCTGGCATTTAAAAGCCTGTCACAATATCCACTTTTATCCAAAAGGCCTGTGGCTTATACTGTAAGTCTTATTGCTGTTGGCAGCACGCATCCAAGTCAATGGGACTCTCCCAAAATTATCCCCTCTCACTGGCATGCAGTGTCACTCTGACAGAAGGGTATAAAATTAAACTGTAGGACAAACTTGTCAGCACGCACGCTGATAGACACTTTGCTTGTTGCTGCTGAGTAATATTACCTTCTGTCATGGCCTATAAATAGATGTTCCTCTTTAAATGATTGATGTGTGTGCATATGGGTAAAAGACAAATTAAATGGCACTTCTGCTAACGGTTTATCTTTTAATGTCGTGTGGAGGGCAATAAAAATAAGTGAGAGGAAGAGACAGTGAGTTGAGAATATGGTGAATTCTGTTTCTGTGAGTTCTCAGTGTGGCTGTCTTCTGTGTTGCAGGGGGACGGACGCTGGACTCGACTCCAAGGACTCCAAGCCGACCTGTCACTGGACCTCTACTCCTGCCTGTGCTGCTGTAAATGGCAGAATGCTCACCTCCAAAGAGATGGAAACCCTCATCACTGACTGGCTCGTCTACCTGCTGAGAAGTGGCGCTTAAAGATGAAATCCTTACTGTTTTCTTCTTCACTGCAGCGGCTCCTGACAGGACCTTTGTGAGGAATACTTTCCATATTGTGAGGAATATTTCTCAGACTTCCCTTCACCGAGCTGGAGGAAGCTAATGGCTGCTACGTTTCCACTGGATGGTTTGCACCGCCTGGGTTTTAAACGGGATCATTAGCGACCGCGACCTTCGTCTGCTCCGGGATTACCCGCCTGCTTATGCCTGTGTGTGAATGTGATTGTGTGTTTGTGTTTGCATCTGCATGGCATAAGTGAGAAACAGAAAATAAGGATTTTTTTCACTCAGAGAAGACAAGAAAAGACACCGCAAACAAGTTGAAAAGGAGGAGTAGCAGCCATGTCCCAGTGGAGGCACCATTCGAGGACTGGTTGTCGGCTACTTCAGACTACTGCCAAGAGCGGGAGCAGGAGGATGGGTTGTGTGGGGCTGGAGGGTTCCTTAAACGCCTGCTGGTGGATGTCCACTCTAATATGGCTGGGACTGCTGCTTCTCCAGGCGTGTCCGGCGGCCGTGTCGGCACAGAAACTCGATGAGAACGACCCGGTGGTCACCACCACCATCGGCAAGCTGCGCGGCATCAAGAAGGAGCTCAACAACGAGATCCTGGGTCCTGTCGTTCAGTTTCTGGGAGTCCCGTACGCCGCCCCACCCACGGGCGAGCGCCGCTTCCAGCCGCCTGAGCCTCCGTTGTCGTGGCCGGACGTCCGCAACGCCACGCACTTTGCCCCCGTGTGTCCTCAGAGCATTGTGGAGGGCCGCCTGCCGGACGTCATGCTGCCGGTGTGGTTCACCAACAGCATCGACGTGGTGTCCACCTACGTCCAGGACCAGAGCGAGGACTGCCTCTATCTAAACATCTACGTCCCCACTGAGGATGGTGAGTTAGCCTGGGTAGGATGGGTGTGGGGCCAGCGGGAGGCGGGGCGGAGGGACTTAAACCCACAACCTTCTGGTAAAGAGAAGATTGTGCTGTTGGGGGTTTGTCGTTGCCTACGTGAGAGTGCATTCCTGTCTCTGTCCCTGTACGTCTCCCGGCAGACGGAAAGCATGACTCTGTGCATGTTTAATGTGCATGACACTACTGATACAACATGAGTGAGGAAGCGTGACTTGTGAAAGAGGATGTGCACACGTGTGAGTTGCATCCATTGAGGCCACTTTATCCTCTTTTCATTCCTCCCCACAGCTGTCCTCCATGTTTTTTTTTTTCTCCTTCCTGACCTTTTCTCCTCCAGCTCCATCCTGTCCGTCTTGCCTCTGTAACCGATTCCCCTCTCATCCCCGGCTCCTCGTTCTCCTCATTGCTCTATTTGCCCTCCTCTGCGGGCGCCCTCCCTTCTCCCCTCTCCCGTGTCTGTAGCTCATCATAGCGTATTGTGCTCTGCCACAATGGCTACAGTTCATTTAACAAGACAGTCGTTGTCATGATCATCACCGATTGATTTGGCTGACTAGCTGAATGACTGGCTGGCTGACTGATAGACTGAATACTGCTCTGATTGAGCTGGTGTGATTCATTCTTTCTTTATTTCCCCCCTTCCTTCCTCTCTAAGCCGTTTTCAATCAGCTCTGTGTGTGTGTGTGAGTGTGTGTGTGTGTGTGTGTGAGAGAGAGAGTTTGTGTGTGAGTGTGTGTGTGTGAGTGTGTGTGTGTGTGTGAGTGTGTGTGCATGCCAGCTCCTGTGTGCGTTGCGCGTCCAGGGGCTCCATGTTATTCTTTAGTTTTCTATTCATTTTACAGTCAAAAGAATATCCAAGGAATGTGCCAGGAAACCGGGCAAGAAAATATGTAGACAAGGAGGTATGTATAATCTGAATGCAAACCATACAATGCCACAGAAAGAAGAAACACCCTAAAAAAAACAACAACAACAGCAAGACGAAAACAAGAACAACTGTGCGGTACAGTACCGAGAAGAGTCACCAGATCGAGGTCTACGAATTATTCCGGTCTTGACTCGGGGCATCTGCTGGGTTTCAGAACGCTAAAGCTAAGAGACAGGACCTTTTAAACGCTACCTCTAAGTGAATTTAAGATCAATTTAAAACACCTAAGTAGGAAAGTCAAGATGTCACAACCAGTCTTCTTCTGGCTGAATATTCTTCATGCATTTCAGAACGCTGAGCGAGCCGAGCCGGCGGGACCTTTTCCAGATCCGTCGGCCCTCGCCAGGCGTCTTCTGCAGATGATGCCGGCGGCACATTTTGCCGCTAAAACCCAGAATCAGACGTGTAATTGGTAGACCTTGTGACGACGAAGTGATGGCTGAGGTGTGTTGTTCTGATGTGTGCTCCCATTGGTCAGCAACAGCGGGAGATTTGATTGGCTGCCAGACGGGAGGTCAGGAGGTGTGCAGTAATGGTGGTTGATGTGCGGCGAGATAGCGGCGCATTAGATCAGGCACACTGTCGCAAACACACACACACACACACACACACACACACACACACACACACACACACACACGCACACACACGCTGGCAGTGATGTAGTTGTATGCAGTGTTAAATAAGATGAGCTCAGGCTGGACCTCGGCTGTGTAATCTCCATTAAAAGAAAGCAGAGTTGTGTTCAGGTTGGCTCGGGCGACTGTATCAAGCACTGTTTCATCAAGATAATGCCCTCCACCTCCTCTCCGTCTTCCTCTCCCAGCCTCTCCCTTCCTGGATGCGTTGTCGTGCGCAGACATGTTTGTGAGTGTGTGTCTGTTTGTGTGCGCAGAGAGAGAGATGCTGACAGTGTCCTTGATAAGGTCTGGGTGTTAATGTCATTGTCTTGGCAGCAGCCTGCATTATCATTTATTCCTCTCCCCCTTCTCGCCACACAGACACTTGTACGTTGTAACCTGGCCGCCCGTCTCCTCCTCTCTCCCCATCGCTCCTCTCCTGTCGCCGTCGTCTTTCCTCGAACGTGTTGCACAGGCAAACACACAGACAGGAAATGCACTTAAACTGGGAGATTATAGAAGCTTACATATTAGTCACACAGCATGGAAAATCCTCATTTAGAAACCCAGACCCAGACAATCTCTTGTGGATTCTCTCATTTTATGATAAAGGGAGATTAGGTCCAGAAAACAATGTATCTCGCGCCGAAAAAGAACAACAAGATGGCAGATCTGTGGCTTTGTGGCGGTACAAGCTGCTTTGCTTGGATTTGTGGCGTTTGGGGGGAAAAACAAAAACAGAAACGTCAGGGAACTCTCAACTTGTTGTGTTGTAGCTGTACAATGTGGACTTCATTTGGACTGATCTGGTCTCCTACATGTGACCCATCTGCACGAGGTCAGTGGCATTAGGAGATACAGGCCGAATCAACACGTGATAGCAGATGTTGGTTTATTACTGAGATCGGTCCATTTAGCCGTGTTCTACATGGAGGTAACAGATAGTATTATATCGCTGTCAGATACCGTCAGGCGCGTCACATATATGAACATGTTGGATATTAACAACTTTATTTTAGGATTTCAGCTTGAAGACATTGATGTTTGTGTACAGGATGGGATGTAGACAGTATTTACAACGTGTACGGTTTCGTAGCCATTTGTGTGATTGTGGGATTCAGCTCACTGGAAATCGTGTTTTTAACTTTTAAAAACTGCTCTGCCTCGAGAGATGGTTCAAGACTCTGACGGATTAAAAGGACCTGAGTAAAAGAAATACAAACTACATGAGGGACGGCTGGCATGAAGCAGCTGAGTTCATGAGAAGCCCGTGCATTGGTTGATTTACTATGTTCAGTGATTTTCAGACTGCAGTAGAATCAGCTTTTTTCTTAGTTGCTATTCGTCCCTGTGGGCATGTCTTGCATCACATGGACGCCACGGCGCAGCGTTCAGGGGACCTAGAGTCCATTCTGCAGCGATTCTGGAGAGACGGCGGCTATTTCTGTGGATCCGTTTAGAACTGGAGTCATTATCAGTGACATGGTAGTGCAATGCAGCGGCGCATGGACTGAGTGGACGGATCATGGTGAGTGACTGGGTAATTTCATGGCTGGATGTGTGCAGCCACAGGAACGCGTTCTGTAACAAGGCTGGATGGGAAGAAATAAATGTGGTAAAGAGTCATTATCAATCAAATCAACGGTGGCGTGTCTGTTTTAAAGGAGGCACAATCAGAAAGGAACGGTTTATATGTGATGTCAGCAGAAGGGAACAGACTTCCTGGTGCTTTCAGGTGCAGAACTACCGCAGGTGAACATGAGGAACCGTAGCTTTTATCTGCTGGGGTGGAAATTTGGAACTTGTGGATCTTATGACGCTTCCAATGTCTTAAGTATCCTTTAATCAAGATTTGGAAAGACTGAGCGACTTACTAAGACATCAACGCCGTTAAAAACATGTGGTAGACACATATTTGCGTTGTCACAATCTGCTCAAATAAATCGACTTTTACCCGGGACCATCTCGTCCTTCACGTCACGCTCATGCTCAGTTTTAAATCCTTGAAGAGACGCTTTAATTCCCATTTTGGTCACCCAATCTGGGCTGCAGGTGGATCAGTGGTTAGCACCGTTGAAGGTTGCCGGTTCACGTCCCGGTGAGGACACCCGGGATCTTCCTACGTGGAGTCTCCATGTTCTCCCCGTGCAGCGTGGGTTCTCTCCGGGTTCTCCGGCTTCCTCCCACAGTCCAGAAACATGCTGAGGTTAATTGGTGATTGTAAATTGTCCGTAGGTGTGAATGTGAGTGTGCTTGGTTGTCTGTCTCTAAGTGTAGCCCTGTGATAGACTGGTTACCTGTCCAGGTGAACCTGCCTTCACCCTGAGTCAGCTGGGATAGGCTCCGCCCCCCGTGACCCTGGTGAGGATTAAGGTGTAGAGATGATGGATGGATGGATGGATCACCATCTAAACTTCACTTTTAGTTTCACAGGAATTCATCTGATTATTCATAGCTGCACCTGTTGATCTTTATACCTGTAAACACCTGATTCTGCATTTGCTTGTAGAAAGCTTTGATAAGTTACCTTAAAGATGAACCCAGGTTGAACAGTTCTCACTGCATCGTTAAACTCCGACGGCGGGAAGAAGTTTGCTTGCAACAAAATAAATCACATTTGAAAGGAATAAAGAAAAACAAAGTGGAAGGAGGAGCAGGAAGAGCGCCAGCGATGGGCAGTGATGAGGAGCAGTGGGAGAAGGCACACAAGAAGTAATATTACTAAGAATGATAAAAACAATGAGAAACGAGGACACAAAGAGCCAAACCACAGGGCAGCGGTGAAAGTGAGTGAGCCGGCGTGTAATTGCTGTGGGACTCGTCTCTTTGTCCTCATAAGGACTATTGTGTCGTCCTGTGCCACGCCGCTTCAAACAAGTCTTGTGTGGTTAAAAGTGGTGTTTTTGATGTGTCTGTGCCGGAGCGTGGTCATTAAGCTATCGCATGCTGGGATAGTGGTCTCTTTGTCGAGATCAGAAGCAGCAGCGGCGCCGCGGTTGGTCCTCTTCGCGCTCTGCAGCAGGAATTCACAGCTCACTTTTAAAATTGAAATAAATGAATATGGGTGGCCTAAAATTCAAATGTAAGCCGTGGGTCAGGTTAGGAGAAAGTCAACGTGATGCATGAGTCAGACGCAAAGCTCCAGCGTTTACGGCTTCGTATCAAACCTCCGTGCTGTTGAACCAGACACGATGACGTCAGGTCCGGACCGGTGGCGGCCATGTTTCACCGTGTTTTTGATTAAATAATCAGAAAAATAATCAACAATGATTAAAAAAAAAGGCTTCTTGCAGCCCCAGTTTGTGATCAAAGCTGCGCTGTAGCGTGTTCGTTTGCAGCATCTTTTTGGAATATTTGTGTTGATGTCCATCCTGTAATTAGGAAAACTCTCTCTCTGCGTTTACATTTAGTTTGCAGGAGACAGAGTTGTC